TTAAAGTATTTGTCTGGTGAAAGCAGAACGCCGCAAAATGAGATATGTTTTCAATTCAACACAAACCTTTTCCATTATAAACATCACGTGCCGTTATTGTCCAAACACCGTCACAGTGTCTCATCTTTTGGACGATTTGAGGCTGCATTTGTTTCGCCTGGATGCCCTACACGTAAAATACCGTCAGACACGTGTTAGTGACCTTTCACAAGCATTCAGCTGTACATTTTGTTCTTGGGAAATGTGTAAATATCTACCAACATCAAGATCCCTCAAGTTCTCCTCGGCAACCCCATCAACGTGATATTTATTCATGCCAGCGGCTCAGTGGACGTTAAGTACGAATCAGATCGTTGCTCTGTGTTTGTTTCTTTAATAAAAGCATAAAACTGGACAAATGAAACAAAAAGAGACTTGAGTCCGAAAGCTGAAACAATCAACCAGTTCCTGGGGATGTTTGATTACTAGAAGAACACTATGCATGCATGTGATGAACTTCCTATTATCTTGTTCCATACAACATGGATTTATTCTTTATTAGACGTAGGTGTGCAATAAATGCTTTATAAGAAGAATAGATATAATTTGTGTTGCTGACTCTATGATATGATTATTATGCTACTTATTCACAGATGTAAAAGGACTATGCCCAGCTGTGCTTGTACATATAATCTGCTTCTGAATGCGTTGGAGGAAGAGTCTTCCATTTCCCAATTTGTGTTCATGTGCGGGGAAACTGGTGCGCTTACATGGGATTTTTATGCAGAACATGAGTTTGATTCCCAGCCACAGGAGCTCTGTCCATTGGCTGCTTTGGCCTGGATTGTCTCTGCATCTCCTTCTCTGTTCTGTTTTCCAGACCTTTTCTCTGATCTAACCTTCCAATCTGTCTTTTTGTTTGTTTGTTTCAACCTTTTTTCATTCCTCCTTCCTTCTTCTCTTCCTGCTTTCGCCTCGTCTCCTTTTCCCTGACCTTTCTCCCACTCTGTAGGTTTTTTTTATTATTATTATTATTTGCAGGTTTCTTCGTTTTGGTTTCGACCCACTCTGTTGTATCTTTCTTTTCCCCTCTCCATGACCCGCCTTATTAAGTCTGCTCACCGTTAAAATCCACTTCTGATTAGGTATCGCTAAGTTGGCGGCCATGTTTTAAATTCTGCTTGGGTTTTTAGTCTCGGTTACGCTCCTAACAACATTTGAGTCCTGCACCTGAAGATGATTTTTCAGGAAAGTCACTTTCAGAGAATGTGTTTTGTGAAGCAGTTAAATGATAGGAAAATATGTGTTGTCGTGTTGGGGGAAGTTGTAAAATAATAAATTACATTGGAAAAAAAAAACAAACCTCACTGACTGTGTTTTCTTCAATCCATAAAGTGAATTTTTAGTGGATAATTGTAGAACACGGCGCAAGGGACAAAATTTCTACAAGACAAAGTGAGAAACGTGTGAAAATTGTAGCTGAGCTTTGTTGCTGGTAAAGATAATTTAATAAATGTTCACTATTTGTTTTTCTACTGTACTTACACTGTTGTTTTTATTCACATCATAAAAGATATAGCAACAGACCTTTCTGCAATTAACATGAATGAAAAAGAAAGTGCTGTAAAAAAAATAAATAAATTATCTATAGTACACCATATTTATTAGGTTGCAAATATTTTCCTGCTCATATATCTAGAATTTCTGGCTGGTTCATATATTCTCCACTCTTATTGTGAGTTTTTGTGATCGCTGCCTAAATATCAATGGTGTAGAATTTGTGACCGTTCGTACTACGATCACATTGTGAGTTTTTGTGATCGCTGCCTAAATATCAATGGTGTAGAATTTGTGACCGTTCGTACTACGATCACATTGCAAAGTCTAAAATATTCCACTTTCAGGGGAAAAAAAATAAAATATCTGGGTTTTGGTGAAATCTGAGCAAAATGTCTGAATTGGAGTTTCTTTCTTACACAAGTATGGCTGATCTAAAAGGCCCTCTAATTTATTTCATTTACTGCATCTTAAAAGCGCTCAAGAGGGAAGCATGACAGTGGAGCTTATTGGATTTATTTCACACCATCTTATTTGCTTGCCCTCTCCTTTCCCAATCTCTCTCTCTCTCTCCCTGTGCAGCTCTACTGTTGCTCCCGTTAAGCAAACATATTAGACACACTTTCACCCAAATGAACCCGTTACTTCACCTCGCTCTTAATGAGCTGGTCTCGCTGCTTTTCATTCAATTACACGCAAAAATAAAAATAAAAAGATTTCAATCACTGAAGGTCTTAACCATTTCTCTGGTGTTACCATTATTTTTAAAGCATCCCAGTGGTTTGGATTTCGTGACGCTTTGTCCACTTAAAACCTGAAAATTCAATGGATGGTAATTGGGATTTCAAGTTATTGACATAGCTTATGAAAATACCAGTTTTAATAGCAGAAGATGTAAAGAAAGCTGAGTTTTCCTGTGAAAATGGGGTGAGAGCCAGGTCACCAGGAGGCAGCGGTGAATCCGTCAACCAGAAGTTGTTGTTAGACGTACGATGAGAAAGAAGCGGGATTTTGTAACAAACATAAACCGATACAATACTCAAGCTCCCTGACCCATTGCTTGGGCTCTCCGTCTGCAGAGGCCGCATAAATCACTTCTCTGACATACGAGCATCATGCCAGCATCATTCCACATCGCCATATGTCCCCTTCTGCCCCGAAGACTGCTCCATCTGCCGAAAGACACACAAAACAACCAAACACATCTGCACACGCTTAATGCTCGCAGCAGATTCGTCAACGTCCTCTATCCGTCAGACACCCTTCACTTCTTCTTCTTCTTCTTCTTCATTTATTTTTTTTTCCTCTTCGACATAGTTCGTTGTTTGCCCACTAATTTCTGCAAGCTTGTCAGGCTCCTCTAACTTTCGCTCCTCCGCCCTCCCCTCCTTTCCGTCTCCCCGAGATTGGCCAGAGGCGAGGAAGGGTTCCAGTTCACTGAGCAGAAACCACGCCGTCTTCCTCCTCCTCCTCCTCCCTTCGACGGCCGCCTTCGTCTCTCTGTCTGTCTGTCCTCCTCCTTCTGCGAATAACTTGGAGTAACTGGGTGCACAAGAGTAGTGGGGAGGAAGAGAAAAAGAGAGGAAGGGCTAGGAAAGGACACTTCAGGTGACTGCAGACTTCTTGTCTGCTTGAGGGATGCAGAGTCCATAGAGCTGCTTTAACCTACAGTGATTAACTTCACTGACTGAAGGAAAAAAGTATGATTTAATTAAAAATACGCCAAACACAGACCTGTGGGCTCTAAGCCTAACCATTCATTCCTCTGCATTTTCTTTTTTGTATAAATCTTTGAGATATCAGAATTTGCACATAACTTTATATTATTGGCTGTCTGATGACAACATTTGAAAATATTACACCAGATGTTATAATCAGCGACTCAGAACTTCAGTAGACATTTTTGCCAAGTACATTTTTTGTTTGTTTTTTACTTTTACTTACTCATAGGGGTGTTATTGTACGTTCCAGGCACATGGTGGCTTCTCATAGCTCAATGAATTAACTACGTAAATATTTTGAAGAAAATGGAGAACAATAAAAACGTACAACTCTTCTTTGGAGCGTTGGACTGAGAGGCTGTTTGTATGACAGTAAACGTCAGCCAACGTGCAGGTACACCAGGTGTTTGCTAGTCGCTGCTGCCGCTAGTCTGGTGGAGCTGCGTTGTGGAGGGGTGCGGCGGTGTGTCAAACTGGTTTTGTAAACGCTTCACTTTGAGTCATGTAATAACTGTTAAGGTCAGGTTTATTATAAGTAAAAATAAATAAATATTTAAATAGTTTACCTAATAGAAAGAGACCGAGAGAGAATCAGAACCAAGGACAGCACCGCGTTCAGCACCGGGGACAGCTCCTGCGGTGCATTGAATCCAGCATGGGCATCCAGGTCTCACTGAATATAATCAATAAATAGTTTCATAGTTGTCATAATGAATAAGTTAACACATCTATTTATAGTAGTAGAGTTGTGTTCATAATTAAACGAGTGATCCAACCAATAAATGTAAAATTAGTGATTTAAATTTCCTCAGTTTCGATCATAAACTAACTAGAACTTTTCTCAGGTTGTCTCATGCAACAGGCCTCTGGTTGCTGCACTCACATTATTGAGTAGAACCAGTATAATAGATCTGCTGCAAGGACTCGAAAGCATTCCTGATGCCCGGTGTTCCTGCAGCACCCTTACTAAATGGCGTAGGGAACACATTCTCTCAGAGTTTTGGGAAAAGTCTTATCTACTCCTGTCGTTTTCAGCTGGGAAATGTTTCGAAAGCATTGGCAACCTCTGCCCCGCTGACGAACTTGCTGGTTCCTTGCCTTCCAGAGTCTTCCTCCACATTGAAGGGCTCTTTCCACCTGATCAGGTCCCCGGTCCCAGTGCTGTCCCCTGGCATTCCTACTGAGTCATCAGATGATTTGCCAGTTTCCTTGAGGCTGACAAAAAGTCCCTCTCCATAACCACTCTGAATTTCCCTTACATCCTGCATTTGGTCCTCTAGCTGGAGAAAACGCGTTCCTTCTGGCTGACACACCAGCCTGAAAACATAATGTTCTCTATGTGAATATGAAGATGTATTTATTTTGACGTTCAGTTGGTGGCACATTTAAAGTATAATTATTTAATTTACACCCTTTTGGGACCTCCACATAAAACGGAGTGTGATCAATTCGTGCTGTGTTGTGCAAATGTTTGTGTCACAGTCCAGATCTATCTTCTCTTCTGATCTCTGCAACAGGCGGGACCTTCACGCTTCTTCCACAGCCGGAGCTGCGGTGGTGGGCGGGACCCTAAAGCAGAACGGAGGTTTGCGATTGGCTACTGGCGTGCGCTGCTCGCCCGCGCGCCCAATCCGCGCCGCTCGGAGCTGCCGCGGGCGGAGTCTGGAGGCGCGCGCGGTCAATTTTAGTTTGAGTTGGTTGGACAGAGAGGAGGAGGAGGAGGATGGGGATGAAGAGGAGGAGGAGGATAAGGGGGAGGCAACCGCTATCTTTTTTTTGCCCCCTTTCTCCTTCTTCTTCTTCTTCTTCTTCTTTTCTCTTTTTTTTCCATTTGTACCAACGGGCACAGCTGGCTCGGGCTTGTTACAGACCAGTCCAACTCGAGTAGCGTTCCGCCCGTCTCTCGTCTCAGTGGCCTGCATCCTGGACAGTCGATGATTTCTCGGCGTCTAACGCGGAACGTTTTGCGTGCGCGGGTTCGGACGACCGGCGGTGGCTTTTGACATGGAAGAGGACAAACAAAATGTGTCGACGAGTCAATAAAGCCGCCGTGGACAGCCCACAGGTCGTCCTCGTCTAAGGAATGGGGTTCTGTTCTGCTTAAAGCGACATGGTCGAGGGAGGAAACCCGGAGGTGAGATAGGGGCGAAAACTGTTTGGAAAACAGGCGTTTTGTCCGACAGAGGCGAGTCGTTCAGGAAGACGGGCGACAGGAATAAAGAAGGTTTTAAAAATAGATTTATATGTGTTAACTGGGACATATGAGGCCGGGAGAGGCGGGATGTGGCATCACCCTCCGCTCTGAGTGAGTGTGGGCAGGCAGCGTCGAGCTGTTGGGGACAACCGGTGGTCGCTCCGTCCAGCCTCCCTCCCACCTTCCCGAAGCTGCTATTTTCCTCCATATGCTCGGCAAATACCGAATCGTTTTTCAGTTTTCAAGTGCCTGTCCCTGCTCCTCTCTGTGACAATTCAAGTCTCGGCTTTGGGAAAATAAAGGGGTGAATCTGTAAAAAAAAAAAAAAAAAAAGAAGAAGAAGAAGAAGAAGCGGAGGAGAGAAGGAAAAAGGCACCCCAGGAGCCGCCTATATGAAGATGCTGATGTGTGACCGCGGCGTCCAGATGCTCGTGACGACGGTGGGCGCGTTCGCCGCCTTCAGCCTCATGACCATCGCCGTCGGCACGGACTACTGGCTGTACTCGCGCGGGGTCTGCCGCGTGAAGAGCAGCGGCGACAACGACACGAGCCGCAAGAACGAGGAGGTGATGACGCACTCCGGCCTCTGGCGAACCTGCTGTCTGGAAGGTACGTGATCAGTCTCACTGGCTGGCTGGCTGTCTGTCTGTCCTGAGGTCCAAGCTGTCTCTCTCTCTCTATGTGTGTGTGTGTGTGCATGGGTATGTTGACGTGCAGCTCTCAGCTCTAACACGCAAGCAGACGCCTTTCCCCGTCCATCGCGATGCCAGAAGAGAGTCGGGCTTATTTCGTCTTCACGAACACGAGCTCAGCCTGTGATCAGGCTTTGGAAGTTAAAGCTGTCATTCCTCAGGACTGAGACAGGATGTCATTGGCCAGAAGCATAACTAAGGGGGGAATCTGCGTGTTTCTTTTATTTATTTATTTAAGATAAATCAATAGGAGTCAGACAGATTTCCCTCCTGTCAGATCGGAGGCTGAATGGCTTTGGTGCGAATGGAGCAAACAACTGTTGAACACAGCAACACAGGAAGTTGCGGCCCATTGCCTTTCATTTTGCATATCTAAAAGTGAACCATTGTTTCATCACAACCACATAGTTACATGTATTTTTTTTATTATTTGTAGACGCAGTTGCATAATTTTATGCTTAAGAAGAAAATCACAAAGGTTTGACTTGCCTTCAATTTTAGTTCAATGATAGTAACAGAAACCTAACTATTGTGCCAGTCTGGTAAATGTATCAGTTTGTTTTGTTGTTGTTGTTGTTTTCTCCGGTAGAGCTTGAATGATTTCCAATCAGAACCACTTCACTCTCATATATTGACAACAGATCTCATATCACTCTCGTAACACTGACAGGATGTCTCCAATGCTGAAGAAAAGAATAAAAATACATTTTTAGTTGCTTAAAAAGGCGTTCCACAGGATGGGCAGTAAAGCGACTGGACTGTCTCGTGTGGCTCAACAGGTGAACAGTTCTAAAATGGCTTATAGACGAATAAAAACCTGATTTACACAACAAAGAAACTTTCACTTTTAGACCAAACAATTGCAAATGGTAGCACAGTTGTCTAAAGATATTATCTAGATGCATTATCCAGCATGAAATAGTTTCTGGGCAAGGACAGCTACATTTATTTAATTGTCAGTGAACAAACAACGTTATGAAAATCAAGAAACACAGCAGAGAAACTGGTGAAGCACTATTAGGTTATAAAACAATTTCCCAACCTTTAAATATCGTATAGCATTTGTCATCTCTTCATGGAAACAGGACTGTAACCCTATTAAAATATAGCTGTGCAGCTAAGTGTTCGGGGTGAGCTCTGAGCTGCCAAGAGGCCTGTTGTAACTGGAGGAGCTGCAGAGAGCCATAGCTCAGTTGGAATGAGCTGTGAGCAGGGAAATGAAGAAAATACACATTCACAGCCTCACCAGTAAAAACACTAAATCACAGTAACGTCACAAACTGAAATAACGCCACAAATTGTCTTCGCACATCAAGCTTCAATGTTATATTTGAAAACAGGACGATTTTATTGTGTAACTAAACGTTAGCTTCAGGGAGTTTTAATCCGCTTAGTCCTTGCCTTTGGCAATTTGAATCTTCTGTCAGAGGGTCGCAGCTCAAATTTCTCTGTTCAGTGGTTGTTGCTCAGGAGAGCGGACAATGTCACAAGTGACTTGAGACAAATCGGGCAGCTTGATGCCAATGACCTTACAGGCAATTTTCTTTTTTGTTTTGTAATGAAAGACAGCAGAATCTTGTAATGGAGACAAAAATGAGAACCGTTTCAAAACGTGGACCTGCTCCGCTGTTTCTCTGTTAAACCGATGGACTTGACCATTTTCTAAAATCTATGCATGTCTTTGTTTTTTGTCGGATTCTGTTGACAGGACAATTATGAGTCATGTTATATTTGTAAAAGAGTTTGGAGAAGAACATGAAGGAGACACACCAACCATATGGAAAAGTAACTGGTCGATTTAAACCAAAATAAAAGTGTTTTGCTCTGTTTGCAAAATGTAAACATGGTGTTGGCAGTGTTATGTTACTTTTCTTTAGCAGAATGGTTCCAAGAATTTCAAAGACTTTGTGTAATTTTTCTTTTACTTCACAAATATGCTCTGTTTTGTGTTGGTGAATATTATACAGTCAGAATAGGATAAACCGAGTTGATGGTTTGAAGCTGTAGAAAGAGTAACAGGTGCAGGAAGGAAAGTCTGACTTACGTCTCTTCAGTAACATTGTCCAGCTCATTGTAGGGCTTTTCTAATGAAAGGACATATGTTTCCCCTAGCAAAGGCCCCAGAGCCATCCTGATTGCATCGCTTAATTTGTAAGGAAGTGGTGTTTTCTTGGTGTTTGCATCTCTTGACTCTGACTTTTTTTCTCATGTTTAAACCCGTGGTATTTATACACCTTTGATCTGGGATAGATACAGTTTTCTTTCAATATATGAGAGTAAAAACAAACACACAAAAAAACAAGTTTTTTCTTTTAACTTTAACCTTTTTTGTCTTTAATTTATGCTTATGTATTGCATTTTCAAACTGCCTAAATTATACTTTTTCTATTAACAGCACCACCCACCAGGTTGAGATGTTAGAAGTTTGCAAAAAAGAAATCTGAACTTCACAACTCCTTGGTGTTTCGCTTCTGTGTTGTGTGCAAACCAAGAATTGTATAAGTCTTTAACCAGCAGAGAAACACATTTTTATATCTAATTTAGTCACAATATTGGTGGTAATCAGTAGGAGATGTTGACTGCATTTTTGTTTTTACGTTCTTCTTGGAGACACGTGACTTTCTTTCAGGTGATGGGGGTTTGAAACCTTTCTTTTATTTTACACGTCTGACATGAGTCTCATTTTTAAATTTGCTCTGCTCCAGTTCAACTTTACAATGCCGTTAACACCAACTAACATTTAGATCTTAGCATGCCATTTAAATAAACCGAACTGAATTAAAATAAGAGCAAAAGATGAAGTGATTGCTTTATTGTTACATTTTAGAGCAAACAAATGAAACTTTAATAAACTTCCTTTACAAACAGATGTAGTTATTTGTCACTTTATGAGACTCACAGCTAAAATGATTTAAAAAAAAATTTCAGTTCTGCTGCTCGTCTGCTAAATGTTTGATTTTAATATTTGGCATGCTTCTTCAGTGCCATCCCTTTCTTATTAATGCGTGCATGCATGGATCAGCATGAAAGTCACTGCCAAGCATAACCGCCTCATTCTGGGGGGCAAAGAAGGCTATTATATGGCCAGATGGTGCAGGTACAGAGCTTTACAGGAACATAGTCATTTACATTCACACTGACACACACCTATACACACACATGCATAAATTCAAATGCACATCCTTGTATCTGCATGAATAAATTGGGAAATTTTGGTATATCCCCAAGCCACTATATAAGCATCGCTGAGTTAGAGCTGTGCGGAAAGTTAATTCAATGTCAGCACAATGTCATGCACACACATGCACAGACGCACCAGAGAAATGCAGAGAGACATGTAGATGTACATTTGCTCACGTTTACACAACTAGCTGCAGAAGATGGATCATGCCCTGTTATATCTTTAGGCTTTCTACCCATGGGGGCCACACATCCCTTTTTTTCAATATATAAATAGATATAAATTTAACTCTACTTACCTTACATTTTAAGAGATTGAGAACATTGGACTTACGCTCCGCATTTTGAAACAAATGATCAATATGTAGTTAAAACACATCATGACCACTGGTAGGTATGGTGGAGGTTCAGTGATGTTGAATTTGTATTAAAGTCTTAAAAATGCAGCATTTTCAATAACCAGAAAATTTAAATTGGATCATCACTGGGGGGGTTTCTACGCCTTCTGTTTTGATTTATTTGATTTTGTTTTTAGGATCAGCAAATTAAACAAAGTGAATAAAATAAGAGTTTAATCTTTGACAAAATAGTCTTTTTATCTGGTTTGCCTGCCTGATTCGCGGCTCTCTTATGGCTGACCAGCTATTCACTCCCAAACATTCATCTGCATTTCTTAAAAGACGATGGTTTCGGTTAGAACAGGATGGTTTCCTGTTTTTAATATTACATTAGACAGTTCTTAACTCAGTTTTAGTGGTTTCGGCAATCTCCTTAGATGTTTCCTCTGCCTGGTGCCAATGATTTGACTCTTTTAAAATAAACTAACATCTTTCCCACAACCAGGGATGTGTCTTTTGACTTGGCTGTTTAAGAGATGAGAAGCTACTAATTGCATCAGTTGAGGTCACATAATTTACTTCCAGCTGACAGATAATTACATATGCACTAATTATTCTTTTTTTTTTTTTTGGCTTAGCAGCTTTATAAAATAAGCATTTTCTAAATCTGCAAAGACGTATTACAGGTATAAGTATTTTTATACACACGAACAACAAAAATGTCTAGATAATCACTTAGGCTTGCAGAAATTATTTATCTGTATTTGTTGTGTTTAATGGCCTGTAAATCTGTGCCACTGTTTTGCCAGGAAACAGCATGTGGTCATTATGAAATCTCTTGCAGCAGTAAATGGTTGTCTCTGCAGGTGTGCTGAGGCGTTGTGAAAAAAAACCAGGGCAAGGGAGACATCGTTGGGAGGGGCGGGAAAATGAATGAAGAGAAACTGGAATGTTCATGAATGAAGCAGGGGAGAAAGGGGGTGAAGAAGGAAAGTGGGTGAAAAGTGATGGATGAGGCATGCGTGCCCTCAGTTTCTAGTGAATCTCCAGGGGCCACACTGTTCCTAACCTAACGTTTTCTTGTGATAGAGATTAAGAAGAGCTCTAAAAGGAACGAAATGGATCCAATGAACGGCATCCCCAGCGAAAAGAAAAACAACATAAAGAAACGATTAAAGAAATGGAGTGTTTCAGTGTCACCTGACAGCAAGGGGCTCTGGCATGAAGATAGAAGAGGTGCATGGATGGTTTAGTGAGAGATAGATAATAGCTCTTTAAGCTTTGTGTGGTGCTGCAGGGGTAGACTGGCGAATATTCATCAGATGCTGGTAGGAGGTGGAGGAAGATGTGGAAACAGCGGAAGAGTCAAAGTAAAGAAGCAAGAATGTTTTAGGACCAA